ATACATATTGCAACATAGAATATTCGAAGTTAATAAAATTTTTTCACATTAAAATAAGGGTTTATAAGGATATATTAACAATTATGATTATTAACATTAATTATCCTTTGTACAGTTCCTTTTTGTATAAAGAATTGTAAGTAAATAATACAAATTTTATGTTATCAATGCAATAAGTATAAAGAATATAATAAGAATGTAACTATAAATGTAGGTAATAATATAATGCTATTCAGAAAGTATAAAATTTTATGTAACAAAAATTCTAAAAAAGATTACTGCTCTTGCTCTGATGTTAAAAAAAAAACATTTTTTTGCCCCGAATAATGTTATATTTTTAGAAAAGATAAGTTGAGCAGGAATTTTTAAATATAATATCTTTTATTTATTTATTATTACTTTTATTTGACTATAGTGAGCTGTTAATAACACTTTGAAGGTTTTTGAATATTTTCTTTAAAGATGCCAGAAAAGTTTGCGGAAAAATTCAGTGCTAATGCTAACTTTTCGTAAATCTCGCCATTCACTTGTTGGAATGCCCATTGGAATATAACAATAATCGGTAATTTTCAGACGCGTTTGTGTTATCTGAAACGGTTTATCCTAAACAGGGTTGTAAGTTTTCGAATACTGCATTTTAAGTGCAAGCCCTACGTGGTCCATGCACTAATAAATGGAGCACCAAATAATTAGGGTGCTGCATTCTATTCAATTATATTATGCGTTTTTATAATACGACAAATGTGTGCAGGACAGAGAGAGATTCTTGGATTTCTCTATTCTATATCCAATCAATAGGCTTGAAAAATTGGTCGTACGACAAAAATGCACAAATGAAATAGTAACCTTAGACTGTTATGCCAAAAGATTTATTGTTTCTTTAGATTTTCGTCCATAAAAAAGTAAAGTTTATTCTTCTGTTAGAAATTTCTTTCTAAAACCCCGGAAGCAAGTGACATATATGGGCGTAATCAAAATTAATAATTTATAGTCATCGATTATCATATTGTTCTTCCGATTTTTTTTAAACGAAACCGTTATATAAATACTCAATTTCGCGGAGACAGCACTTCGGATATGTATAAGATTATCATTTACTTTTTTTCTCAACTGTCTGTCTGGTCTTATAGATATACTGACGAAACATCAATACGGATCCGAAAATAGATTTCGATATAAATGCCTACTGTCTTTGCGGAAACTCGAATTAGCTGTGTACTATTCCATCATATAATTATGAAGATAAGTAGTATGATATAACCATATTATTCTTGAAAATTACATGAAATATGTAAAGTTTATGAAAAATATACATTTTATCCAAATAACAGGTTTCGATTTATGCAAAATATTCAGTTAAATTTTTTTGGAAAATTTGTAACATTACTTTAACGTTTGAAAAAAAAACTTCATTAAACTCGACAAAATATTATTAATCTTTAAAGGACCGGACTGGCCCCTTATAGTGGCCAATAACAGAAGTCTGTATAACTTGAATTACCGCAGCGCATCAAACATTCAGCACATTATTTCATATAACTGAGAACGTGTTGCTAAGAAAAATTTGATAATAATTCCATTTTATGTAAAATAAAATTTGTCTATTGCAGCTAGAAATAACATAGGCCTTGCCTTTGCAACTTGATTTATGTAAAAGTAAATCATATCAATATTTCTCGTCGTTTATAGAACAGAAAGGAGAAGGTTCCCTATTTAATTATCTACTCCAAAAAATGTGGATCAACGCATATCGCGATGATAGATTACATTGTATCGTTCAGCATCACATCACGTTCAGCATATTCAGGATTATTATAGAGATTTCCCTCGAAGGTACATTGAAAACGTACGAGATTCTTGAAGCATTATTTTCCTATATCAATTTGCTAAAGAAAGTGGGTCCGCAGAAAAGAATTTACGACGAGATCAGTGCATTTGCAGAAAATTCTTTCAGGTAAACTGATTTTAAAAATAAATACAAATTTGAAAAATAACAAAAACAATAAAATTGTGAAAAATGTCATTTTAGACATACAGATGAAAAGAATCCGGTGGATAATGTGAAAACTTCATGCGAAAACATGTTCCTGTATCCGCCTCGTGATTATATAAGGGGAGGCATAACTTTCGGTGAATATAATCCAGAAAATATCAATAAATTTTTGAATTGTTTGGTGCCAGAGGAAGCAAATATTACGTACTGTACGGAAAATTTTCACGAACCGGAAATAGATTATTATAGTTGGGGTACATATAAATTCGATCCACCGTCAATTGAGATACAGAAACACTGTATCGAACACTGGAAATCCATCGGGCCATTACCAGAGATTTTCATTTGCCATTAAAGAATATAGGTCTCTTCCTCTTTTGTCCGAGGCCTATATATTCGTTTCTCAAATCAGATTGTTTTTCGGATTTATGGTTGATCCACAGAATCCTACCTCAGTCAGATATTAGAGATAAATATCTACTGATATGTATACTGATGTATAGGACTTACAGTTTAACGCCGAATCCGAACGGCGCTGATGATCATAGATCTTTTGATCATCAGGTGGAGCCATTTTTTGGCTCATTAAACGCGAAAAATCGCGTTTAAGCGCACGTGGGATTGAACTCGGGTCTACAGATCGCGAGTCAATCGCACGGACCCAATCAGCATACCATATTTAAAAAATATTTTTTAAATATTTATTTAATGTAAAATAATTGTAAAATCATTGAATAAACATTTAAAAAATGTTTCTTAAATATGGTATGCTAATTGGGGAGTGGTGAGCCACTCGACGCTACTCAGTATAGAATTTTATGTGTTAATTATTTTTTAAATATAAGTATAACTATTATACTAAGTAATTTAAGTATTATAACTTCGTCGATTATTGCGATTAATTTAATCTTTAAGTAATATGCATCCGCACGTATTTTCAAATGATAATGAAAGAACAATTGTTCCTGAAATGGCAATCTGATGACCAAATACAATATGCTTCGTGCAACTGTACGGATTAATAGGATTTTACTATATTCAATTACCATTCACACACTAGTACATATATGCATATTGATCATCAGATTGATAAATTCCTGGAATGTTTTCAAACGTTTTTAGATGAATTCTCAGATAAAGATTTAGATGATATTAAAGGAAGAATAAAATTACTCAAACAACGCGCTGATATGAATCTCGCAGAAGAAGTTGACAGAAACTGGAATGAGTTTGTGAAGTGTCTGTATGTGTTTGACAGACTCGAGAAGGAAATACTTGCACTAGACGAAATAAAAATAAACGATCTAAGAGAATGGTTTGCAAAGTACATTCTAAACGAAAATACTATCAAAAAATTGAGTGTACATGTTGAATGAACCAATATCAGGAAAGAGCAGCTCTTTGCTTTGCAATACATAAATGATGATTTTCTTTTGTAAATTCCTTGAAAGTATTCGTATTTCAAAAAGAAGAGTACTAGGAAAAACTTCACGGTGATCCAGTAATGATTAAGAGTAATAAACTCATAGTACAGAATAAATGCTAGAATAATAATATAAAAAAATTGATTTGTAGAAATTGTTTTGTTTTTCGATATAAAAATGAAATTTTTTAAATGTAATGATTGATTAAATTTAATCTTTTTCTCATGGCGTAGTAATTATTCAATAAACCAATGAGAACAACTTTTAATGTAATTGAAATTGTTGCATTTGTTATGTTTATATTATTTCCGATAAGCTCTTCCGATAATAACGGCTATTAGTGTAACGACTACTATCATAATAGCTATATAGGTGTTTTGCATTTGAAATGTAGCTATAATTATTGAAGTCATTAAAATAAAATTTTCTCACTAGAATGAAAATTGTTAGTTTTACATATTAACAGTTTTTTTTTTGCAAGAAAAGTAGCCTTGACGTTTGCAAAAACAGTAGCCTTGGATTCTTAGAAAATCGTTTTACAACTTTCATCTTCAATTTTTTCTTCTTTTCCAAATTAATTTTTTGTAAATACTCATTAATACTCATTATATAAATACATTTTTTATTAACTGCTCATGAAATTTAAAATTATCTTATTGTGTAATTTTTGTAATTATTTTTATACTAGAAAATTTAGAGGTAGGTAGTGACCCCCCGCTTTTTCTTGACTTCGCACATGCGTGTGAACCTTTCGTTTAGGTCCTTTACAGTGACAAAGATTGATCCTTGGTATTATTTTGCTTTGTGTGATTCGTTCTTTTGTTCAAGGTAGTAAAACTAATAAGAAAACTAATATGTCAACTAGCAATTAATAATTTCAAAATAGAAAATGTTTTAGAATCATATGTAATGCAATATAAACTAAACTTTTTAAACCGTATACATCAAAATGAAACTATAAAATGATTAAAATTGAGGTTAAGTGAAAGTAAATTAAAAATAAAAAAGTAAAATTGAAATAAAAATGGAGAATTATTACATACAGATAAAATAAGGGCTGCAAATTTAAGCAACGGATGTGATGCGTTTCCAAGTTGATAATAGAGTGAAAGTAAATATGGCGAAAAAAAATCGAATGTAAAATGTTTTCTCTTATGTTAGAAACTCCGTATCCACACACAAATGAAAATCATAAGGATGTTTCATAATTTCGTACCGTTATTTATCATTTCAGAAAAATAAATCAAGAAGTTCACAATATCGCTGTACAGATTTAATTATTTGTGTAAAGAATCTTTTAAATAGTGAAAGTTTTAGTTAGCAATACTACCTAATTAATTTTTATTGTAATAAAGTTCCTTGAATACGTCACAAATTATAGTTTCAATATAAAAATATAATGACAAAAAGTATAAAATAATAAATTTTGATATAAATATAATGACAAAAAAAAAGACAAAATGTATAAAAATAGCTCTTTTTTTAACTTTAAATGCTAAAATCTTAAAATTGCGACGTAATGAAATATCGTGAAAAATAGATTTATATTTGGCATCCAAATATCGGAATACGATTTTCGATCTCGATCGGTTAGCAGCTCAAATTGGGTTCAAATTATTATACTATAGCAAGAGAGGCACGTGTGAAATCTCTTCCACGCGTATAGATATCAATATAGTAATTTTAAATTGGAATCTGTCATCATGGACAGTTCTTATTTTTTAAAACTATTTTAATTAATCCCTTAAGATACATAACTAATACGATTTTACGATTGATTTACGAGATATTGAGCCTGTGCTTAAAACAATTATTAATATCAACAATTATTAATACTGGTATTTTATATTATTATGTGAATAACAGGAATAAGTAAACATGTACAGGACATAGCTTATTATTATCGACACTTTTACTGCTTACAATACACATATATACAAGGTGCTAGACGTATTGACTTTTGTTCGAGTGCCACAAAGAAAGAAGAAAGTATATCTTTTAGAGTTCTGATTAAAACTGTGTTAAGTATATTGAAGAAAAATTGAAAGATTTCTTTCTTCTCTAATCGTATTCTATCGATCGACTTAATTTTCATTCCAATTGTCTGCACATTAACGTAATGTCAAATACGACGCTTACGGCTGGGAACGATGGGCGTTATAAAGTTAAATATTTGGAGGCACCCGTTAAATCGAAGGACGACCGAAAGCTATACAAGTAAGATGAAAACAAATACTCACTCTTTCGAAATAGATGTAAGAAATATTTGGATGATTAACTTAAAAAAAAAACGTGCACTTTTATGTGAAAAAAAAATTAGTTCTTTCTTATAAGATCAAGATCATTTTCCGAAGTATAAAGAAACGATAATCTAAATCGAGCGGTAAAAAGATTTTTTTATATAAAATAAATTTATAGTTTAAATTATGTTGTACTATAACATTGTAAACTATAAATTTATTTTATATAAAAAAATCTTATTACCACTTGATTTAGACAGTCGTTTCTTTATACATTGCATTGCAAAAAATGAGCGAATTCTAATTATCAAGATTTTTATTAACGTTTTATTTTATTATTTTTTATTTTATTTTTCGAATTTAGTGTCATCAGATTACCAAACGGTTTCACAGCATTATTAATATCCAATCTTTCAGAATACGAATCACAAGAACAAGACGAAAAAGATAAAATAAAGGTACAAATAAGACAACCTAATAATTTATACTTTGAAATTAGTCTTGAGCCAAAGTTTTATTTTAATTTATCTGTTATAAAAATTCGTTGGAATTATAATGGTGAAGATAGTACTATAAAATCGTAAAAATTATCCATCTCCTCAAAACATAAAATTTTAATTAATATGGCTCAATAAACTAAAAATAATTAATATAATGGAAAGGCTACGAGCCAGATAATGTGCATTAATCAGTAACATACATCAGAAAATGAATGGAATTATAAACATAGATGACAAATTACAAAACAATTATAAACAGACGTTTTGACCTCGCTTGAGTCATTCTCAATGTTTCAATGTATAAAATTAAAAAAATTGTATCACATTTTTTTGAATTTTATACGTGGAAATATTAAGAATGATCCAAGCGAGATCGAAATGTCTATTTATATAATTGTTCTGTAATTTGTCGTCTATGTTTATAATTCCATTTATCTTCTGATGTATGTTACTGATTAATACATATTATCTGGCTTGTAACCTTTCTATTGTATTAAGTATTTTTAGTTTTAACAAAAGTTTTCGTTTTGAACTCATATACTGTATGCCGAAAAAGAATTTTTATATTGATCCACCTCGAAATGTATGATGCAATTTGAAATTGTTTACAAATCATTTCAATAATATACTTATTTCCCCATTTAACAATCTATATATAATGCGTGGTGCGTATATATATATGTATATATATATATATATATATACATATTTTTTAACAGGCAAAATGCAGCTTATGTGTGGGAGTAGGCTGTTTTAGCAATCCACAGGAATTTCCAAACTTGTCGTCTTTCTTTGAGAATATGCTTCACTTGAATTCCAGAAAATATTTTGAAGTATTACAATATGATTTTATATAAAATTTATTTATTGTTGTATTGTAATGTATATAAATATTATCTTACTTGCAGGAATGTAATTTTAAAGAATTTATTAGTGAAAATGGTGGCTCCACTTATGCGTCAACGGAATGCGAGACTACGACATTATACTTTGAAATCGATAATAAATATTTATTACCAGCCCTTGAACGTTTTGTTGCAGTTTTAACTGAACCCTTGATAGAAAAAGAAATTTTAAAACAATGGCGAACGACCATAGAAAAAGGTATTTATATATAATCGTGATATATTATGTACTCAGTTTAAATACGCATATGCTAATATGTATGCTTATATGTCATGTATTTACAGATTTACAAATTAATTTGTTATTTTACAAGAATATAAAGGAACAACTGCTTTCCTCTTTCGCGCAAACTGGTCATCCATCCAGGAAATTTTTTAAGGACGATAGAATATTACACAAGGACGACGAAACATTACTAGATGAAATATTAATATTCAAAAGGCACCATTACAGTGCTCATAGAATGAAGTTCGTTGTGGAGGTAATTTCGATAAACTTGTGACAGGAAGCATTAAATATATAAACTATAATTAACCCATAATATATGCTACATTTTCCATAGGCACATTTACCAACATATATATTAGAAAAATATATCAGTAAATGCTTTTCTGATTTTCCAAGAAATAAACTGCTCTCGGATGACTTTACCATATTCAAAGAAGGTTCTTTTCATACTCCAACTTTCCAAAAAATGTATACAATTAAGCCTGTGGATAATATCAGTCGAGTATGTGAACAAAAATATTGACTTTGAATAAAAATATTGTATTATCCTAAATAAATACATAAAAGGAACATGTAATATAAAAATTGTCTCTTATTGTAGCTGGAAGTAACATGGCCAATGCCTTCGCTATTTGATTACTACTTATGCAAACCACATCAATATATCTCATGGATTATTGAGCATAGAGGAAAAGGTACCTTAACTAGTTATCTACGCAAAAAATGGAATTGTGAAGTAACGTGTAACAATGAAAGCAGTTTTATGCACAACTCCATGTATACACTATTCAATCTTACTGTAACCCTTTCCGATGTGGGACTACAACATCTAGAGGAAATCTTAGATGCAATATTTTCCTTTATTAATTTACTAAAAGAAGAAGGACCGCAGAAAAGAATTTACAACGAGATTCATAAAATTAAGGAAGATAATTTTAGGTAAATTAATTTTAGAAATATCTAGATGTACAAAAAATGATTGAAAAAATTAAAATATACATATTTTAGTGTCACTTATACTTGAAAATCTTTTTAGATTTTTAAATGATGATAAGGCTTATAAAATGGATATAATGAAAGGTACTTACGTTCAGAATTTGTCAAAAAAAATGCATTTCTATCCTTCGCGCGATTATATAACTGGAAATAAGCTTTATTTTGCGTATAACCCAAACTATATACAATACTGTTTAAATTATTTAAAACCAGAGACCGCAAATATTATAATTTCCTGTAAAAGTTGTATCGAATTTAATAAAATCACATCGTGGAGTACAGAGATACCAAACGAATTGATTGAAAACTGGAATTCCATCAAGCCATTGCCAGATTTTCATTTACCCTTACAGAATGCATTTCTTACCTATGACTTCTCTTTAATGAAGAGATTACCAGTGACTCCGAAATATCCTATAAAATTACATAAAGACTATGTATCAGAAATTTGGTATTATCCGAATCCCAGGTTTTATTTTCCAAAATGTTATGTATATTTCCATTTTGTTTCTTCTCTGGCACTTCAGTCACTAAAGAAGTAAGTAGCATAAAAAACGTAATAGTAATATTACATTGTAATAGTGCTACTATATTACTAATATTATACACTAATTTTTAGCTTATAATTATTAATGTTATGATTTTTATATAATCATTTATATCTTATTTTTAAAAACACTAACAATATTAATGATATTTCAGTACAACTCTTATGGATATTTACTGCAATGTATTATCGTATCTGTTAGAAGAAGAATTATATCCTGCTACAATAGCTGGATTACATTACGAAATCAAAAATGCTGAGAAAGGTATTACAATAAAAATAAATGGATTTAATGAAAAAATGCCAGTAAGTATATGTTCAAAGCGTGCATTGAAGTAATATATAGAATTTCAAGATATATTATTATTTATATTGCAGCTTTTGTTGACGACTATTGCAAAATATATAAAAGACTATCCAATTCTTGTTACAAAAGATTTATTTGAAAGGATTAAAGTGCAACTTCTCAACACTTATTACAACTCATTTATGGATCCCAGAACACTTGTCGAGTACTGACTATTTATTACCATCATAATTGCAATTATTAAGATGCACAACTATAAAATATTATATATATATATATATATGTACTGTATATATACAGGATGAATCAGAGTACGGCAAGCTTTTTATCTCACATAAGAAAGTTATAATATAATTAGATATGCAGTCGATAACTTTTTCGTATGGCATAAAGCTGTTTTAATGACTCTGATTCACCCTGTATATGTGTATATACTATATATATATATATATACACAGAATAATGTTATAAAATAAATTATATCAGGATACATATCGATCGATTAATCAATAATATACATATTTTGTTCTTTTTTACAGAAACGTAAAATTATCGATTTTAAAATTCGTCCATTATACGTTCGTCGACATACATACTGCTATACGTACAATTAATTTTGAAGACTTTCACGACTTCGTAAAATCTTTCACTAACAATCTATACATTCAATGCCTTGTGCAAGGAAACATGACAAAAAATACTGTAAAGGAGAATGTACTGCAATTTGTCAAAATAATTAATTGCAATCCTTTGACCATTGACGTTTCTGATAAAATAAAAATGATTCGGATACCCTTGGGCACAAACTATTGCAAATTAAAAAATGTCAACAAATTCGATGCAACTTCTGTAGTGATAAATTATTATCAGACTAATATCGTGTCGATTAAATTATTGATGTTGATTCAGTTGATAATCGTAAGTATTATGTGACATTGTATATTTTGAATGCTTTGCATCGTCGATTTATGTTTAGTTTATTTAAAAATAAATATAATATGAAGAAAATTATTGATTACAGCAATTAATTTTATCCATACGTCATATTCTTCCATATTTGTTTTTAGGAGATAATGACAGCTAACTCGTTGTGTCTCAAGTCGTCATCTGTAGAACAAGCATTCAATGACGTTTCGTTTAGTATTAAAAATCTCAACGGAATTTTAGGATACTTCATTACTGTTCGTACTTCGGCAAATAAACATACAACCGAGTACATAGACCAAAAAATTGAAAAATATCTTCAAGAATTTAATATACTTCTAAAAGAGTTTTCAGAGGAAGAATTGAATCTTATTAAGGACGCAATAAAGAAACGATGGCATCAAGATTGTTACAATGCTAAACTCGATGTTGAACAAAACTGGAATGAGATCATTCAATTTGAATACATGTTTGATATACTCGAAAAGAAAGAGAGAGCACTAAGAAATATAACAATAAATGATATGAGAGAATGGTTTGCAAAACATATAATGAACAAAAGTAATTATAGAAAATTGAGCGTACAAGTGGCAGGTACTAATGAAAATAAAAAAGAAATCATGAAGCCAAATCGTGAGTATTATATATATGCATAACTTTTTTGATTAAATTTTGTCGATGTCTATTTTGGTAACACTATATAATTTATCTTTTATTTTTTTTTATTTTCGAATTTTTATACTTAAAACTGCTAAAACAATTCAAATTAAAAAATTAATTGTTATGGATGGTGTAGAAGATGACAAGGAAACATTGCAGCACTTTGTTTTGAATTATACAATCAACGATCAGCAATATCAGAACTTGGAAGATTACAAGAAAATACTTTTTATGTATTCTAAAAACACTTTAGACGAAGAACTATAATTCACGAAAATGTTTATGTAGCATTATGATGCAAATATAATGTATATATTGTATAAGTTATACTTTAACAATATACAATATTAAAAAAATTGTATTACACTTTTAAGACACGCATTCTCTTTAACGCTGAGACACGACCATCTTCTGATGGTGAATGTAATCGTCTTATAATAATAAAGTTCTATTTAGTGAGGATTAATAGGTATTCAATTTAAGTAAATGAATAAAATTAATACTCATCCTTACGTATAACTACAATATAATGAGACAATTAGTTTTGTATTTTCGTATTGCCTCTTCATATTGTTTTATGCTTCTTCTAATATAAGTTTATTAGGTAATAAATATAAGTAGATAGTGATAGTATAAGTAGATAGTGTCATAAGTATATAACTATAACTGGGACAAATACATGTAATAATGTCGAAAAGAATTTATTAGATATATACTCGGATATATATATACTTTTTTACATTTTTTACTTGTATGTAAATATATGTTAACAAGTCAATAAATTGTTTAATTATATTTTTGGAAATAATCGAATTCTCTCTTCCGTCTCTCTTCCGTGTCTCTCTCTCTCTCTCTCTCTCTCTCCCCCCCCCTCTCTCTCGTTTGTTTTTGCTTATCCACTCGATCACTGCTTTCTATGGTATAATTATACTTTTTCTTATATTTTATTCGAACATTCAGTACATCGTATATTGACTTATCTCATGAATTTGATTAGGATGATGTACATATTTTAGATAAACAACAGATTTTAAATAAAAGACTGATCAGAGATGATACATATTAAAAAACAAAAGCTGAATTTACAAAATGACACATTTTTACTTGATCCTTTATATACAGATTTATTTTCTAAGACGTAATGCTTCTTTTCAAATAATTTATCCTCTTTGTGTCTATCGATTATTTTTATCTATATATATTGTCATTATGGTACATGTTCTGTTGCTCACTGTTTCTCTTGATTTCATTTCACAATTGTCTGTCAAATAGTTAATATCTTCATACTAATACAAATACGTAGCCTATAACAGTCTAGCTCGGATCTTTTAAATGCTTTCAAAAAAACTACCGCAGTACTATCACGAATTAAATTAAATTAATCATTAACTGATATACGTAGTCCCCCCAAATTGCGCGCCGAACAATCGTAGGTCTTGAAACGCAACTCTAATAATCTGAAAATACTAAATCTGAAAAATTATTATTAGTTAATATCTTATCTAATAACTTTTTTTAAATTCCACGTAAGTGAACTAAATTTTGATATCAATTACTTTTATAATAATTGTTTATTAATTTATTCATACAATTGTGCCCACATAGTAAACTGAACAGTATAATGGAACTTGTACAATTTACTGCAGTGTTAACAATCTAATCTTGACAATTATGTAAATTAACTCATCAAAAAACATTTCTTTAACAAATTATAAATATATATATTCTTTTTGTTCTTGCTTAATTATTTTTAGTAAATCTAACAATTTGATGATTACAAGATGCGACTTAAATTTTTGGACACCACGTTATTACATATTTTGTATGCGCTATTATTATATGTAAACATTTATATTTAATCTTTTTTATACTGAAGAGGACACGAATGAGAGTAGAAACGTATACGTTTTGATTCATATTGAATAAATTTTATATATTAGAAAATACACATTTATAACTTGTGTTGGCTCATATTGGCATCTTATTATATTATTTTGGATTTATTCATATGAGCCTATTACCTTGTTTTATCTATTATTTGGTTTATATTTCATTCTATTTCATATATTACATGTTTTATATGTTCCAATTCTAACTAAATTTTTACGCGCACTACTTAATTGGTTAGTTTTTCTGTTTTTTATTATGCGTTTCTGCACTTGTATTTTTTATTATCTCATATACTATATATGTTTTACGCTAGAACACCGAGATATAATTAAAGACCATCAAATCTGGGCAAATTATTGTTCATACCTTTTTGGGTTCGGAAGAAATTCTAAAACGCGTTGTCATTATATATTGACAATTTATATAAATTTGTGATTCTTTTAAATATTTGACTAAAATATTATTAAATTTATGATTTTTTATTATATTTATAAATACGCCACAAATAAGTATACATAGATACATGTAATGTTGTAATATCTTACATATTGCAGCAAAATTATAATAGCTAGCTTTATTAATAATCAAATGTAGACGAAAACATTAAAATCAAAATTTTTTAAACAAATCGAGTATTATTGAGTTTTATATGTGCATATATAACACACGTCTATGAAATAAATAAAACATAAATTAATTAATACTATGTTATGAATTTCTCACTTTAACTGCTTTAGATCACTTAAATATTAACACGTACAACGGAAGTGAAAGCTGTAAGGATATCAGTTTAATAGTATCTCATCAATGGCTAGAACAATATAATTGCTTTATCTATGATATATAATCAGATGAGAGAAACCTGGAAAGGACATCCTGGCCTTTTTCCAAATCTCATAGGATAATGTCCACGTTTTTGTGGTGCTCTTCCAAACAACCACAAAAGCGTGGACATTACCCTATGAGATGTGATACATGAAAAAGGCCAGGATATCCACTCTCAGGTTTCTCTTTGCTATAATCTATTTTTCTTTTTCTTTCTTGCGCGCGCGCGCACAGTACTAATAATAAGTTTTCTAATAAAAGATTTAAAATTAATAACTACCTTTTATTTATATATAAAAGCTATAGGAAAAGCTTATTTCTCTATAAACTAAAAATACTTCTCTAAAAACATTTACAAAAAATGTACTATAGGCCGTTTATGAAGGTTTATATTTACGACGTAAGATAAATGTGTGCACGTGACCACGTAGTTATATTATGGGAACACAGATGGCGTTTCATGACGAAAACATAAAACAGTTTTCTTCTTTCTTTGATTTTGACAAGTCGCCACTTTTTATGTTGACTTTGCTGCGCGAGCTTGGAAAATTGTGTCTCCTTCCGTTCATCGATGGACGAAGCAACGTCGAGTGCGTCGTCCACGCAGTCCACGACAGCAAAATATGAAGAAAAGATAAAGCGACTTAAAGAACTTCACGTCAAAAGGGTGAGAGAAGTTTGCATTAGAATATAAATATAACCTATCCGAGACGTTTTATTGTGTAACTTTTTTTCTAGAGTAAGAAAGTGAAAAATGAAAATTTTTGTGTATGTATGAATGAACATATACATATGTACATATAAAATATATTCATTTTTCACATTTTTGCCATGAAACGATACCTTGAATTCTACTCACTTTGGCATTTTAAACTACTTATTTCTTCCTTTTATTTTACATGAATAGTATTGTATTTTAAGTAATTAAGTGTACTTGTTATTGGAATTTATTAGCGCAATTTGTCTATAGCATATACATTGATTTAACAGAATGAGGCCAGAATGCAGAACCACAAGGAAGTCGTAGAGGAGGATAAGAGGAACAAGCTGCCCACCAATTGGGAATCCCGCAAGAGACAGGCCGAATGGATAATGCAGGACGAAGCTGCCAGGAAAGAGGCAGAAGTTAAGGTGTCACAATTGATCATATTTTCCATCTTTGACAAATTGTATAAAATTATTTATCCATTTAACTTATTTTTCAGGGTGAAGACTACGAACGGAAAAAATTGTTGAATATTGATGCCACTGAAGCAGAAAGAATAGCTAGGAAGAAGAAAAGCAAACAGAATCCTGACCCAGGATTTTCAGATTACGAACAAGCGGCGATACGTTCTTACAACAGACAAGTGAAAAACATTAAACCGAATATGGAAGCGTACGAAGACGTGAAAGAGAAATTAGGTCCTGCTTTTTATGGTGATCCAAATACGATATTACACGGTTTACACGAAGACAAAAAGGAAGCCATAGATAAAATGGTTACCAATTTGGAGAAGCAGTAAGTAACGATCCTTTAATGAAATCGCGTAATCTTTAATAAGACTCGAATTTGATACTTATCTTGTTTACCTTTTTACAGAATCGCTAAACGGGAGAGATACAGCAGACGTAGAATGCACAATGATGACGCGGACATCGATTATATCAACGAGCGTAACGCCAGATTCAATCAGAAACTGGAGAGATTCTATGGCGAGTATACTCGGGAAACGAAGTTAAATTTGGAGAGGGGTACGGCTATATAACGAGAAAACGTTGTTATAATTATCACAAATACTTGTATTTTATGTAGTATACGATGACTTTTTGTACAAATAAGAATCTGGAGAAAAAAATTTTACGGTATTTAATCAAATGTATCTTTTGTTACTCTTATTGACGATGCATCTATAATTATGCTGCAATGCACGAAATTTTAAGATGCGTAGAAATTGCTTCGAGAAAAGAGACATAAGTTGCAAAAAAAAGAACGGGAAAAATTATTTAACGCGTAATGTGTACTAACGATAAATAAAAAATTAAACTATTACATTAGTCACCATATGTGTTCTATTACAATCACTTAGAGTCCCTACAAGATTTATTTAAATTTTTTTTATACGTATGTACAGTTCTTTATAAACTTCTATTCACAGTTCGCATCATACCACCCAGCTGTGTACTATATCTAGAAAAGTAATACGTTGTGATTATTTTTGTAGACAGTGTAAGTAACTTATACATATTAATCTCGCGTTTCAATGAAAGCATCCATATAAAATATACTCACGTCGTGGCGAAAAATTATGGTGATGGGTTACTCGTATATGAATATCTTGCGTCTCCCCTGAAATTTTCAGACCGTAAACATCGTTACAAAATTAAGTAAAATAATATTATATATATATAATTCACTAAGCATAAATTCGTTTCCTTACCTAAAGTTAGACTTAAAGATGCGTTTTGCCGAAAGAAAGATACACATATTTATAATTTATACATAGAAATGTGTATACATATGTCGATGCTGTATCAATGATGTTAATAGCTTAGAAAGAAAAAAGTTGGCTTGTAAATAAAACGTTAATTTATAGAAATAAATGCGATCAAAATCAGCAAATGCACACACACACATTTTAAACAAACAAACGAGAACAAAGTCGCAAGCTCTCTTCTCTTTTATTATACTTTATTAACATGATTAATGTAATTAATCATAATTAAGTACACAGTTTTTATAATATAGTTATAATAACATACGCTCACACTTTGTTAAAATTTTTTTTTTAGATACAACAGATTAAAAAATATCACTTTTATTTTAGCGCTTCATGGTTTTGTCAAAATCCAATCGATTAGTTCAATCGCAAGAGACGATCTTCACGAGTTTTCGTGAAGGATATATCAAAAGTCGGCGTGCTGTTAGGCGACAAGTTATTTTATTTCGTATGGTTGTAATAACGTTCAGGACGGTTCACTAGGGAAGGAATATTTTTTAAACGTTTAAAAAACTTATAAATGTTTACTAAACATTAAAAAAAACATTCTCGCTTCATTGGGAGAATGTGTTACGTGCGATTCAAAATTTTTTATATTTTAACAGTTCTGTACTCCCAAAAAATGGACTTTGGAAACTCAGGATAAAAGACTAGTTGTGCTTTTTAATTTTTGAACATTTTTAAACTGAATGAAGATTAATTGTTCATTAAAAAGTAAGTACTTGTTCGAGATGTAATACTTTGTGTATATCATTCGTATAAACGCGACAAAATGTTTTATTATAAACAAAAGTAAGTATTTACTCTTCTTATTTTCTCTCTTTTTCTCTCACTTCTCTCCCCTCTTATCAAAATCTTTTTTATATAGCTTGATTTAAAATTAGAAAAGATGCACATTAGGGTCATCAAATAAGAATGATTTTTCTATAAACTGACTGAATGGAGAATCCTATAAATATTTTCTTTTGTGTGTGCACGTGAGTGTCATATATGAATTCTATTAAAAAAACAAATATATAAAGGGTTATACATTATGTTCTACAAAAAGAGGAAATTATGAATTCACCTGCTTTTTAAATCAATTTCTTGTAGTTTTCCATTTTTCGGAAAAAGTTTTCACGATTCGGCGACAGCCGGTAAGCGTAAGAAAACAGAAATAACATATATACTGCTAAAAATCAGATTTTGTGACTATTAATAAGCAGTACGTACAATGTAATTTAAATCAATGCAATATCTATCTTAAAAATCTTTAAATAAACATCAAATAAATCAATTATTTTTGTTTCATCAAAAATGATATACGAATGTGTAATTATAATTACAAAAATTTTATTAATTATTACAAATGTATGTAAACAGTACAAAAATATTGATATTTTCAATTTTACTCTTGTTTTATTTTCAATTTTTCACAATAATTAAATTAATACCTTTTATCCCATTTATACTATTAAAATATTATCTAATATTGAAACTACAAATACACAGTTACAGAATTTATTGTAATTGTCCTAGCGCTAAATGTGGCTTCTGAACAAAAGAATAATAAGATATCATAATTACAGCGATCGGAAAATTTAGAAAAGCCGAAGATCTTTCCATTTGTCCAGAGTGTGCCATACATTCGTTTAAAAACATCAAAAACCTAGCAAATTATCCTATTTTGTTATTGTAATTGTTATTTTATTTAAATGATCCTATCTATGTCAAAACGTTTCGAGTCTTCGTACTATATGTAGGTCAGTCGAATTTGTTCTAATAAATTAATATTTTTAGAGCGTGTTTGTATATGTGAAATCATCTTCCAAAAATGTGTCTATCAATAATAAATTAATAAAATAATAATTAATTAAAGTAATCAGTTATCTCTTTAGACATATATGGCAGCTTCTAATTTACAGTAATCCGTTTTAAAGAATACGTACGTTAAGAATACGTTAAGACGTTAATAAATGATTGGATTATGATAATTTAAGATTTTATATAAACGATATCAAATGTAAAAATAGACCGTACATCGGCTTTTTGTATTATTGGGAATAATATAAGTATAAGTAAACGTCTATGACCTTTGCTTATAATGTACACAATTAAATCGTATATCAACATGTGTTCAAAGGGAAATGCCGTAGAAGAACGCGTATCGGTTAGATTGCTGATTAAAATTAGTGCTTATACATCCACTAGAAACAAAGTTAAAAAGATTCAGTATATCATTATTGAGAACTCTTTCTTTCAGATCGTATTATACCGATCTTCATATAACTTTTATTCTGATTTCCTCATATATTGATATAATGGATAAAGAGGAAGATAATATAAGCTGCAAAGTTGAATACTTGGAATCACCCGTCAAATCGGAGAGTGACAAAAAGGAATATAGGTAAGTCGAATGAAAGTATATTTAGCAATGTGCTTGTTTCGATTAAAATGGGAAAAGAAACAAAGTGACAATATTCTATTAAAAGAAACGTTACAATGCACATTTTCCATTGATAAAAACAGATAGATTAAATTATTTGAAACAATCAATAATGTAAACAACATTCTCATTGAATTCTCATTTCATGAATATTATTTTTGTCTTTTAAATTTAGAGCTATCAAATTACCAAACGGTTTAGAAGTTTTGCTAATTTCCGATGAACATTTAATCACAAGCCTTTCTTCACATCAAGATATGTGTAACACAAAGGTATAAAACAAGATAATTTAATGCATTTTAGAATATACCTTAGGACTCATTTTAAAAACTTACTTTATCGTGACAGTTAATTGGTATAATATTTTAAAGACAGGCCTATAAAATCAAAATATTTCTATCTTTTGATTTTTTAACAGGCCGCATGTTGCTTAAGAGTGAAAACAGCAGATTACAACGATCCACCAGAATTTCCAGGCATATCTTTTTTCTTCAATTATATGTTTATAACTGAATACCAAGAATATTGCAAAGTATTAAAATATGATATATACATTTAATATAAAAATTATTTATTTGTATATTAAATTGTTCAAATATAATTATCTTACAGAAAAATGATATGATCGAACTTATCCATAAATATAAAGGCGACATAAATTTTATCGCTGAATTCGAATATATATCATTCTTTTTCGATATCCAAAACTTCCAAAAGGATTACTTTTTATCAGTTCTCAAGCTTTTCGCTGAATTTTTCACTAATGTACTACCGGAGAAAGATAAATTTATGCAGAATCGAGATAACATTAAAGAAGGTAAATTATTATTCACAATACAATGTTGTCACAATCTTAAAATATCATATTTATATAGAATTTCAGCTAGCCTTAAATTTTGCCAAGGACAGAGTTGATTTACCACTGCTTTCCTCTTTCACATGTAGTGATCATCCAATCAACAAGGATAATGAGGACTATTTTATAAAGATACAAAAAAATTTGGACTATACAATACTCTATGAAGAGCTACAAAAATTCGCAAAGTGCTATTACAGTGCTCACAGAATAAAACTGGTTATACAAGTAATTCTAATATATAATAATTTTAACAAAACTCCTGTATAAATCAAATACAAACTTGAAGAGAAAAAGGCACTAGGAGTTAGGCGCAGATAACTTTACGAAAATGCTAGTATTATATAACAAATAAAATGTTCTTCATTATAATAAATGTGCTTACATGTTTTGGCTTATTTTTTAGCCTTCTTTAGTGACAATGCAATAATATGAATAAAAGTAAAAATTGGATCAAGAGATGTTTAATCATAGCGAGCTCCCCCACAACCAAGAAATCAAATCTAATGTTAATATTGTAGATGGAATTAACATCAGATTTGATTTCTTGTTTGTGGAGGAGCTCGCTGTGATTAAACATCCCTTGATCCAATTTTTATTTTTATTCATGTTATTGCATTATTGTCTCTAAAGAAGGCTCAAAAATGTGCCGAAACATGTAAGCACATTTATTATAATAAAGAACGTATCGTTATATAATATATTAGTATTTGCGTAAAGTTATCTGCGCCCGACTCCTAGTGTCCTTTTCTCTCCAAGTTTATATTTGATAAGTACATAATATTATATTAAAATTGTTACTAACAATTAATTATTTTAACTATATATAGTTTATTTTTAAAATAAAATTAAAATTTATAAAATACATCTTTTTATAGGCAAGTTTATCGCTGAATACATTAGAAAAATATGTCACACATTCTGCACGTTTTGTTAATATACCAAGTAACGTATTGCCTTCGAATGATTCCACAGGATGTAAACAGGATATTCCTCATTTTAATACTGCTGCTTTTCAAAAAATGTATAAAATTATTGATATAAAACCATTTAAACTGGTACGTCATTAAAAGTTAACGAGATCAAAACAAATTTATATTAAATTTATGCTATGTAAAAATATAAATATGTAAAATAAAATTTGACTTTTGCAGCTAGAAATAACATGGGTCATTCCTTCGCAATATTCATACAAAAATAAATCATTTGATTATATTATGTCGATTATTGAGAACGAAGGAGAAGGTTCCTTAATTAGTTATCTTCGCAAAAAATTGTGGAGCGTTACGTGTTATAATAAAGCATTTTTGTGTGAGAGTGTACTTTCTTCCATGTTCAATACAATCACAATTTCTATAAAGCTTTTCAATGATGGAAAACATCGTGTCAGGGAGGTTTTAAATGCGATATTTTCCTATATCAATTTGCTAAAAAGAGAAGGTCCTCAGAAAAGAATTTACGACGAATTAAATACATATACAAAATATATTTTTAGGTAATTTTAAAAATAAATACGGATATGTAAAGAATAATGAAAATCATAAAATATTGGTGAAAAACATCACTTATATTTGATTTTTTTAGATATAAAAAAGAACAGTGTTCATTGGAAAATGTAAAAAATTTATGTGGAAACATGCACGTGTATTCGCCGCGTGATTATATAACTGGAAATATAATTTATTTTGAATATGATTCGGAAGAAATAAATAAATTTTTGAGTTATTTGGTGCCAGAAACCGCAAATATTATAATTATCGACAAGCATTTCGAAGGTGTGCACCCAAATAAAATCAATTCATATTCGAATTTATGGTATACAGATGTCCAAATACCACAGCAGTGGATCGAACAATGGAAATCCATTGAACCATTGCCAGATTTTTACTTACCATTGAAAAATATATGGCTTCCTTTTGAATGGACTTTAATACCAATACCAGCAAAAGTTTCAAAATATCCTGTAAAATTATACAGTGATAGTATATCGGAAGTTTGGTATCGTCCTGATCCAAAATTTCGTTTGCCAGTATGCTACATGAATGTCCATTTTGTTTCCTATCTAGGATTTGAGTCACCGGAAAAGTAAGTAATGTAGCACACATGATTAATGTAATAATAATACATTGTTGTATTACGGACCCAATAAAACTAATTATTAAATTGGAATGTTTATTACGATTTTCATAATTTTGTTATATGTTATTTTCAAGAAACTTCTCTTTTTAATAATATTTTAGTGCAGCTCTTATGACATTGTACTGCGAAATATTAAAACTACTAGTGATGGAAGAACTATATCCAGCTACAATTGCTGGATACTCTTATGACATTAATGTCAATACGAAAGGAATTACAATTGAAATATCCGGGTATATGCCGCGAGTAAGTATATGTTCAAAGCATGCGTCGCAGTCATAAATTTCGAAATATATTATTTTTTACTATATTTATATTGCGACTTTATTTATGTTGCAGTTAATGTTGTCATTTATAGTTAATCGTATGAAGGCCTATCCAAAACTTGTTACGGAGGAATTGTTTAAATTGGTTAAAGATGAACAACTTGATTTCTATAAGGACAAATTTTCTGAACCTGCGGAACTCGCTAAGTACTAATTATTTATTGTCACATATATAATTGCAACAATATTACGAAATTCTTACAACCAAAAGAAACTGTTAATATATATTAACTAAATGTTATGTATTAAAAGCGATAAAAAACGGGTGGTTGTTAAAATAATTAATAATTTGTATAAATCACATGCATAAACTGACGATACGTTTTGATTTGATTAAATAGCCATGAATTTAGTCGTGAATGGTTTGCAAAATTACAAAAATTTTTAATGTATGAATTATCTTTTAGTATAAATTGGAAGTTTATCTTAAATATTATATGTTATCTTTATTTCAAATTTTATCATTTTTACTCATATTATCTTAATAATGCGTATCCACACTGTCTCTGACTGGGATTTCATCTACTGTAATTTCATCAGGATTGATTCCATCTATGTACACGTCAGCTATCGCGGAATCGGTTTTAATTTATTAGGACATCAATTACAACTAATTATTCTAGAATTGCAGCAATAATGAGTTTGAGTTTACTGCGAAACCCATATCGTTTGTAATATCTGATCGTTACAAAAAATTACTAATTTATACTAACTGTTAATTTATGCATATTTAAGTAATCTAATATTTATTATAATACAGCTATATTTTTACTTAATCTATATTTTTAATTGTAAATCAATTATAACAGAAATTTTGCAAAAAGAGATATTTTCCAATTGCTCAACATAAATGTACACAGAAATGTACAGAGATAAAGCTTTGTACACGGCTCAATTAGAACAAAATGTGTACGATGTTTAGATTAAGTTAAACTAAATGTAGCTTGTCCATATCTGTATTAAATAAAAACACTCAATGTTCTACAACCACATTTATAGCTTTCGTAATTAATAACATGTAGTTGTTATATGTATAACGTGTCCAATCGTATATGCAAAGTAACGATAAAAGTAACTGTAAATTTCGTTACCGTTATCCAAAAGATGTAACTACGTTACTGTTACAGTTACCAAAAAAAGAAAGTAACGCAGTTATCAGTAAAGTTACCAAAAAAGTAACTTTGTAACTGTAACTTCGTTACAAGTAACGAGTTAATTCCATTTCCTGCCTATATAAATACAATAGAATAGAAATTGTTAATAAAATGAAAATTATTACCTCTCTTCATCCCTCAAGGTGTACGACTTTCCACTTACTTTCCACAGCAAAGCGGCGTCCTCCTCATCTCGCACTCCTTTTTTGAACAGTGGTTTGAACAGTTTTCAACGCGAAAAAATGTGACAAAATTTTTTTTTTATTTTACCTTGAAAACGACCTTGTCAGAAATTTTCATGATTATATTCATAATCATTCCATCAAAATAGAGTAGTATCTTATTCAAAAATTTTAACAATCACCCATTTTTGCTCATTTTTAATACCGTTAATATTGACCTTTATATATTGTTAGTGTTCTTTGCTTTACACTGCTGATGACGTCATTCTCCTGATTCCTTTTACACACATACGAAATATAAGAAATACTATCATTTATACTGATTTGATATTAATTAAATAATTAATTTTATAAAATTTGTTATAATAAATGTTATTTTTGCCAATTATAGAGACAATAATAAATTTAAGTTCATTATTTTTTGCAGTGATGTATCATTATGGATACTAACGTTAGTCCATTATACATATATTGATTTGCACAATGCTCTAAAAAATATCAGTTTTAAGGAATTCCAGGATTTTGCAGCAACTTTTGTCAATCGTCTGTGCATTCAGTGTCTCGCGCAAGGCAATATTACGGAGGGTGCTGTAATAAAGACTATACAATATTGTGTTGAAACATTTAAATGTAATCCTTTACATTCCGATTGGATGGAATCATTTAGAGTCACTCAGATACCCATAGGCAATAGTTATTGCAAATTAAAGAATATCGATAAACTTAATTCAAATTCCGTTGTGATAAATACTTATCAAATTGATGTCACGTCAATTGAATTAACAATGTTAATGACACTAATTACGGTAAGTATTTAATATCATGGTTTTACCGATTATTGGAATTAATTTTATCCGCAAATTGTGTTCATCCGCACGTGCTTTCAGAAATTAATGTCACGTACGATGTCTGATCAATCCAATGCATCAATACAAAATGCTTCATGCGACTGGTTAGATATTAATGGAATTTTACATTATTCAATTATCGCTCGCACACAGAAAAATAAATACTCAACTGAGAGTATTAATCACTGGATCGATGAATCCCTGGATTGGTTTCGAAAGACTTTAGATACAACGTCAGATAATGCTTTAGATAATGTTAAAGAAAGAATAAAATTAGAATTCCAGCAACATGTTGATATGGATCTTTCGGACGAAGTTATTAGAAACTGGAATGAGATTATGATGTGTCGATATATGTTTGACAGTCGAGAGAGGGAAACACTAGCACTAAACGAAATAAAAATGAACGATCTGAGAGAATGGTTTGCAAAGTACATTCTGAACAAAAATACTATAAAAAAACTGAGTATACATGTTGTAGCAAATGACCTCAAAGTGCAGCCCTTTGCTTTGGAATACATAATTGATGATAATATTCAATATAGTCTCCTTAAAGACATTCGTATTTTGAAGGTAGAAGAGTACAAGGAAAAACTTAACGTTTTTCCGTCAGTTGATACGAATAATCAACTCAGAGTGCAGAATAAGTGGTACTCTACGCAACAATAATATTATATAAGAAAATAAAATTATAAAAACTGTTTTTACTTACGATATGATAATAAAATTCTTATTTATGTATTGAATTAATTGAATGATTAAATTTCATCTTATCCTCCTTGCATAATAATAGCTATTTAATAAACAAAATTAGGATGATTTTTAATGTAAATTAAATTGAAACGTTTATTGTATTTCTATACGTTCTTTCCGAAAAACTTCTATATCTAATAACGGCTGTTAGTGTAACAACTATATGTACGTTTTAATAGCTATATATAATTCGGGTTAAATAGCCATATATTTCGTGTTAGCAGCTAAATATTCGTGTCAAAAGTTTTCTTACTCGGTTGAAGGTGGATTATTTTTTTTACAAAAGTTGCGCAACATTCGCGTAAGGCTTCTTTATAAACTGATTGAAGAATTCTGGAGGTATTAATTAATACTTTAATACAGTGTCTATGTGTGAGAAATAGAGTTTATACAAGATAAAAATAGGATTCAATTTTAACGTTCTTAAAAATATAAGAAATTTAAATTTATGATTTTTATTAATCATTGTGATTGTCTTGAATTCAACAAAGTCGAACACTCGTCAAGAACGAGGTACACAGCGTCGAGATACCAAAAAAATGGATCAAACGCTGGAAATCCATCGAACCATTGCCAGATTTATATGCGTCATTGCTAAATATATTTCTTCCTATAAACTTCACTAAAATCACAGTTCCAAAGAAAGTACCAAACATCCTGTAAAATTGTACGCTAACAGTACATCGGAGGTTATTTAGTACCGCCCAGACCCCGCAAAAAGTTCCCAAAATGTCACATAAACATACATTTGATTTCTTCTTTGGGACTTCAGTCACCGCAGAAGTAAGTAATAACATGAAAAATATAATAATGCAACTATATGTATAATAGTGGTGTATAATACTCTAACACATATAATAAATTATACTATATACTAATAGCTAATTGTAATATTATAATTTTTTCATATAATTATTTATATTTCGAATCATTTTAAAAAATTTAACATTAATGTTGACATTTCAGTGCAGCACTTATATGGATGTGTACTACAAAATATTGAAATTCACATTGTCAAATCAATTATATCCAGCTGAAAAGCTGGATAATAATTGATTTGATAATGTAAATTTTAATACATTGTAGTATACACATCCATAAAAAGAGCTGCACTGAAATGTCAACATTAATGTTAAGTTTTTAAAAATGAGATATAAATAATTATATGAAAAATATCATAATATCCGAACGGTGCTGAGGATCATAGATCTTTTTTGATCACCAGGTGGAGTCATTTTTTGGCTCATTAAATGCGAAAAATCGCGTTTGGGCGCACACGTGGGGGATTGAACTCGCGTCTACAGATCGCGAGTCAATCGCACTGAGCGGTGAGCCACTCGACGACGCAGTTTATCACTAAGCATTATCCTACATAATTCTTTGTGCGAAAACAAAGCAATGCAATCCATTTGCTTTCTAAACAAGCATTTTCCTTTTTGTCATATTTTGTTATAATAATGTAGAAATATTTGTTTAATTATAGTCTTCTTTGCAAATTGCCAAAAATTTTGTATTTACATATACATAAATTATTACACATTTTTACTACAACGTTGTTATATTCAGTTTGATTGTTTCTTTCTTGCTTGCAATACTATATCGAGTGAGAACTTTCATCTTATTGCCAATATATAATTGTAACGTATTTTACGTGGTGTTCTCCCACACAACCACAAAAGCGTGGACATTACTCTATGAGATGTGATACATGAAAAAATTAAGGCCAGGATATCCACTCTCAGAGGTTTCTCTTTGCTATAATCTATTAACTTTTTCTCTCTTGCAGTACTAATAATAAGTTTTCTAATAAAAGATTTAAAATTAATAACTACCTTTTATTTAAGAAAATCCGCGTATCGCGGAAAAAAACTTTTATTTCTCTAAAAACTAAATACTTCTCTAAACACTTTTACAAATGTACTATAAGGCGAGAAACATGTGCATAAAGAATTTGATAGGTTCATTGACTCATGCCAACTCATGCATAAGAAAATGGGTCAATGAAATTCCTTATGCACATGCTTTATGCAAAAGAGTGGTGTGTTTCTAGCCTAAGCCGTTTATGAAGGTTTATATTTACGACGTAAGATAAATGTGTGCATGTGACCACGTAGTTATATTTTGGGAACACAGATGGCGTTTCATGACAAAAACCTAAAACAGTTTTCTTCTTTCTTTGATTTTGACAAGTCGCCACTTTTTATGTTGACTTTGCTGCGCGAGCTTGGAAAATTGTGTCTCCTTCCGTTCATCGATGGACGAAGCAACGTCGAGTGCGTCGTCCACGCAGTCCACGACAGCAAAATATGAAGAAAAGATAAAGCGACTTAAAGAACTTCACGTCAAAAGGGTGAGAGAAGTTTGCATTAGAATATAAATATAACCTATCCGAGACGTTTTATTGTGTAACTTTTTTTCTAGAGTAAGAAAGTGAAAAATGAAAATTTTTGTGTATGTATGAATGAACATATACATATGTACATATAAAATATATTCATTTTTCACATTTTTGCCATGAAACGATACCTTGAATTCTACTCACTTTGGCATTTTAAACTACTTATTTCTTCCTTTTATTTTACATGAATAGTATTGTATTTTAAGTAATTAAGTGTACTTGTTATTGGAATTTATTAGCGCAATTTGTCTATAGCATATACATTGATTTAACAGAATGAGGCCAGAATGCAGAACCACAAGGAAGTCGTAGAGGAGGATAAGAGGAACAAGCTGCCCACCAATTGGGAATCCCGCAAGAGACAGGCCGAATGGATAATGCAGGACGAAGCTGCCAGGAAAGAGGCAGAAGTTAAGGTGTCACAATTGATCATATTTTCCATCTTTGACAAATTGTATAAAATTATTTATCCATTTAACTTATTTTTCAGGGTGAAGACTACGAACGGAAAAAATTGTTGAATATTGATGCCACTGAAGCAGAAAGAATAGCTAGGAAGAAGAAAAGCAAACAGAATCCTGACCCAGGATTTTCAGATTACGAACAAGCGGCGATACGTTCTTACAACAGACAAGTGAAAAACATTAAACCGAATATGGAAGCGTACGAAGACGTGAAAGAGAAATTAGGTCCTGCTTTTTATGGTGATCCAAATACGATATTACACGGTTTACACGAAGACAAAAAGGAAGCCATAGATAAAATGGTTACCAATTTGGAGAAGCAGTAAGTAACGATCCTTTAATGAAATCGCGTAATCTTTAATAAGACTCGAATTTGATACTTATCTTGTTTACCTTTTTACAGAATCGCTAAACGGGAGAGATACAGCAGACGTAGAATGCACAATGATGACGCGGACATCGATTATATCAACGAGCGTAACGCCAGATTCAATCAGAAACTGGAGAGATTCTATGGCGAGTATACTCGGGAAACGAAGTTAAATTTGGAGAGGGGTACGGCTATATAACGAGAAAACGTTGTTATAATTATCACAAATACTTGTATTTTATGTAGTATACGATGACTTTTTGTACAAATAAGAATCTGGAGAAAAAAATTTTACGGTATTTAATCAAATGTATCTTTTGTTACTCTTATTGACGATGCATCTATAATTATGCTGCAATGCACGAAATTTTAAGATGCGTAGAAATTGCTTCGAGAAAAGAGACATAAGTTGCAAAAAAAAGAACGGGAAAAATTATTTAACGCGTAATGTGTACTAACGATAAATAAAAAATTAAACTATTACATTAGTCACCATATGTGTTCTATTACAATCACTTAGAGTCCCTACAAGATTTATTTAAATTTTTTTTATACGTATGTACAGTTCTTTATAAACTTCTATTCACAGTTCGCATCATACCACCCAGCTGTGTACTATATCTAGAAAAGTAATACGTTGTGATTATTTTTGTAGACAGTGTAAGTAACTTATACATATTAATCTCGCGTTTCAATGAAAGCATCCATATAAAATATACTCACGTCGTGGCGAAAAATTATGGTGATGGGTTACTCGTATATGAATATCTTGCGTCTCCCCTGAAATTTTCAGACCGTAAACATCGTTACAAAATTAAGTAAAATAATATTATATATATAATTCACTAAGCATAAATTCGTTTCCTTACCTAAAGTTAGACTTAAAGATGCGTTTTGCCGAAAGAAAGATACACATATTTATAATTTATACATAGAAATGTGTATACATATGTCGATGCTGTATCAATGATGTTAATAGCTTAGAAAGAAAAAAGTTGGCTTGTAAATAAAACGTTAATTTATAGAAATAAATGCGATCAAAATCAGCAAATGCACACACACATTTTAAACAAACAAACGAGAACAAAGTCGCAAGCTCTCTTCTCTTTTATTATGCTTTATTAACATGATTAATGTAATTAATCATAATTAAGTACACAGTTTTTATAATATAGTTATAAGAGCATACGCTCACACTTTGTTAAAATTTTTTTTTAAAAATACAACAGAATAAAAAATATATCACTTTTATTTTAGCGCTTCATGGTTTTGTCAAAATCCAATCGATTAGTTCAATTGCAAGAGACGATCTTCACGAGTTTTCGTAAAGGATATATCAAAAGTCGGCATGCTGTTAGGTGACAAGTTATTTTATTTCGTATGGTTGGAATAACGTTCAGACGGTTCACTATCGCTACGACGACAATGAGGTCGACGGCAACTCCCTCGCCGATTTGCCAGAGTTTATACCTGCTCTGCTGTGGTTCAGTATTCTCGGCATGTCGCATTCCTCACACTTGTTCATCAATGGATGATTGTCGAAAGTGCACATAGTGCAGACCCATGAAGTCTCATCCCGTTCCTCCCGATCGTTGTCACTCGTCGGCTGCTCCAGCCGCCATGCTGGTGGTTGACTTGGTAAACGCGGCGGTTGTGAATTCGACGGTCTCGTCGGCAACGACTG